GAATTAACATTGTCAAAATGACAATTCTTCCCAAAGCTTTGAACAAATTCAATGTGATCCCTATAATGATACCCATGACATTCTTCAAAGAAATGGAGCAAACACTCCTGAAATTCATATGGAACAATAAGCCCCGACGAATAGCTAAAGCAATTCTTTGGAAAAAGAAAATGGGAGAAATCAACCTCCCTAATTTTAAACTCTACTATGAAGCAGTAATAATTAAAACAGAATGGTAGTGGGACAAAGGCAGAGCCACGGACCAATGGAACAGGGTTGAATATACTGACACCCCCTGCCAAATATATGAACATCTAATCTTTGATAAGGGAGCAAGAAATGTGAAGTGGAGCAAGAAAAGCCTCTTTAACAAATTCTGCTGGCAAAACTGGATGGCAACATGCAAAAAAATGGGCTCAGAACTCTGCCTAACACCATGTACAAAAGTAAGATCAAAATGGATTAAAGACCTCAACATCAGACCGGAAACCATAAGGTACATTGAAGACAAAGTTGGCAACACCCTCCATGACATTGAAGCTAATGGTATCTTCAAAGATGTCACGCCACTGGCCGAGCAAGTGAAAACAGAGATAGACAAATGGGACTATCTTAAACTAAGAAGTTTCTGCACCTCAAAAGAAACAGTGACCAAAATCCAAAGACAGTCTACAGAATGAGAGAGGATATTCGCCCAATACCCAACCGACAAGGGGTTGATATCAAGAATATACAAAGTGCTGGTTGAACTCCACAAGAAGAAAACACCCAACCCCATCAAAAAATGGGGTGATGAAATGAACAGAAACTTTCTCAAAGAAGAAATCCGAATGGCAAAAAGGCACATGAGAAAATGCTTTACCTCACTAATCATAAGGGAGATGCAGATCAAAACAACAATGAGATATCAATCATCTCACACTACAGAGACTGGCCCACATCCAAAAGAAAAAAATCAACCAGTGTTGGCACGGATGTGGTGAGAAAGGAACTCTCCTTCACAGCTGGTGGGAATGCCGACTGGGAATGCCTTTTGGAAAACAGTATGGATGATTCTCAAAAAAATTAGAAATTGAGCTCTCATTTGACCCAACAATACCACTCCTGGGAATATATCCCAGAAAGGCAAAAAAAAAAAGTACAGTCGAAATGACATCTGCACTTCTATGTCATTGCTGCACTGTTTGAAAATAGCCAAAGTTTTGGAAAAACCCGAGTGCCCAAGAACAGATGACTGGTTAAAGAAAATTTGGTACATCTACACAATGGAGTACTATGTAGCTGTTAGAAAAGATGACGGCATGAAATTTACATGTAAGTGGTACTACATGGAAAGTATCATGCTAAGTGAAATGAGTCAGAAAGAGAGGGACATACATAGAGAGATTGCATTCATCTGGGGAATATAAAGTAACAAAATAGGAGACTAACACCCAAGAATAGCCGAGATAAGTACCAGGAGGTTTACTCCAGGGCTTGGAGGCCAGCTGCACATACTAGGAGGAAAGGCAGCTCAGATAAAGAAGAGAACATCAAGTAAAGGGTGTTGGGAGAATCCTCCCAAGATGGGAGATGCAAGCTGAAAGTAGACTATAGACCGAACATGATTGCCATTCAATGCCTCTTTTGCAAACCACTGCACCCAAAAGGAGAGAGAACAAAAGGGAATGCCCTGCCACAGAGATGGGGTGGGATGGGGAGATGGGGGGCTGGGAGGGGATACTGGGATCATTGGTAGTGGAGAATGGGCACTGGTGGAGGGATGGGTACTCAATCATTGTATAACTGAAACCCAAGCACAAACATTTGTAAGTCCACAACTGTACCTCATGGTATTTCACTAATAAAATTTTAAAGAAAAAAAACTAGCCTCAATAATGTAGATTTGCACTTTATATTATAAGAAATACTGAACAGAGAGCCAGAGAGGTTTCATTGTATTTGTTCATTATAATTATTGTGCCGCTCTCTGATAATCCCTTTTTCCCACATACTAAGAAAATTAACATTTTAAAGATCATTTCCCACACTGAAATGAAATAGTAAAAAATATAAAATTTCCAAAAGAATCCATTCATTATGCTCATTCATTAATCCATAACTTTTATTGATGTTAATGTTATGATCCAAATTAGCACAGTGGTAGGGCGTTTGCCTTGCACGCAGCCAACATGGCCGACCCGAGTTCGATTCCTCCGCCCCTCTCGGAGAGCCTGGCAAGCTACCGAGACTATCTCGCCCGCACAGCAGAGCCTGGCAAGCTCCCCATGACATATTCGATATGCCAAACACAGTAACAACAAAGTCTCCAATGGAGACGTTACTGGGCCCGCTCGAGCAAATCGCTGATCAACGGGAGGGCCTTTACTTCTTTTTTTATGTGTAGAATGAGTCTAGAAATAGGCACACACTTCAGTGATGAGGATGTGGGTTCTAGACAGCTAAGTTTCCATTGTGTGTCATCCAGTGGCATTCAAACTTTAGTGAACCTCAGAACCACCTATAATTTCTATTAAAAAACAAGGTTGCCAAATATTGCTTAAAGAGCTTCTGTTCAGGAGGTATGGAAAGAGTCCCCAAACGAACATTTCTAATAAATTCTCAGGTGTGGTTCATGCCACCATCCAGGGTCCACACTCTGAGAACCACTTACCAAGCAAGACAAATGGCAACTCTTTATATTTTTGCTTGCCAGCTTTTAGGAACTACACATCTTTCTTCCAAAGAAGGCAATGGCCTTGTGAATGTTGTCATAATCACTTACAACTGAGCAGAATTCTGGTTCCCAGAACTACCTCAAAAATCTAGGATCAGTAGCTCCAGAAGAGAAGAAAGAAGTATAAATAACAAAAAGAATTCTTTCAGGACTTGTTCTCCCTCATTGTTTTTCTTATGTTTTAACCCTTATCTCAAGAAATCACTTTGTTATTATAATTTCCCAATACAAGCATTATAGAAAAGAATAACATTCATTTTGATTTTTCATACTTCTTTAATGTATTAAATCACAAGGGATTTTTATTATGTTTTAACTTCAGTTCTAAAAAATGATATATTCAGTTCTAGTAGCCTCCCACCCCACTTTTTTAGTTGAACTATCTATCTTTTTTGAACAAAAGAATCACAGACTTAGAAGGAACATTAAAAATTCACTTAATCCCTCTTTGGCCTTAGACAAGACTGTGTCTAAACTATCCCCAAATATAGCAATTTTCAGTACAAAGACAAACAGACACTAAGAAATTCCCATTCAACATTCTGTCACACACTTGAAAATACTAATATACTTTCTCTAAGCCTTCTCTTCTCTAAACTAATCAACTTCAACTTTTAGACTTTTCTCATTAGATTTCCTAAACTTTGAATTACTTTGATTCTTATTTAATAAATTTATTTCACTTTACCTCAGGGCCTGAATTATGTATGTAAAGATATCATGAAGACTTTGGTTTTTGTTATGGGAAAAGTATGGGTAAATGTATATATCAAATAAAGAGAAATGTAATTTAAACAAAGAAATATGTGTACAAATGCCACTAAAACATGTTTATTTGAAAAATTGATTTCAAATATGCTTCTATTTGTTAAAACAAATATCTATTTTCTCATATTTTAAAGACTACATTATAAATTATCAGCCATTTCACATGTAAAATGGATGGGAATTAGAGATCTTTCAAAATATGTGTAAATTATGCATAAATATATTTCATGATACTTTACATAGGAGACATTATTGTTATTATTATTCAATTGATCTTTATTTTTAAATTTTGTAGTGTATTTAACTGGAATACTGGGAGATGGAGTTTTAGTTAACCATTGATTTAATTTTCCGAGACTAAACATACTAAAACTAGTATATGATACTTATTTTTATGAAAATAATCATCTCTAATTCAGGCCTTGAGAATCAAGTGTTTTAGAAATTCAAGATACGCTAAACTAGAACATGACAAGTTAAAGCCCATGTTAAATTATATGCCTCTCAGCAATTTAGAAAGGGAGAAAAGATAACGCATTTGCATGGGGCAAATAGGATGATACACTTTATTTTTGTTTCTCTCATTCTACATGTCACTATTTATAATTGAATATTTGCATCTGGAATGGCGAGGTCCAGCCTATGTCTGCATGACAGGCTCATTTCTTGCCTACTGGATCGAGGTGTACGGTGGAGGCGATGCATCTAGTCTCCAGAGAGAAGGAGTATGCTGCTTGCACAGCACTTCTACTCACCAGTCCATGCAGCAGCAAGGGTGTTGGCTTTGAAGGAAGCCAACTGTCCTGCTCTCCCAGCCAGAGGTAAAGAATTGCATTGGTGGCCACTAGAGGGAGGAGGATTAGGAATAGAGTAAATTGTGGGGAAAAGGCACCCATGAAAAACGCACATGGGACAACCAACACATCAGCAACAACCGCCTAGCAGCTACCTCTCTGAGGGACTATAGTAGGATCAGCATATACCATTAACCCAGAGACCCAGACACCTGGAATTATCATAGTATCCCAGTGTACAGCTCCTTAACTTTGATGGCTGGAGAAGGGAGTTTGAACAGAATTGTGGGACACACACAGGCACACACACACAATCACAAACACACAAGCACGCAGACATACTTTCTCAACCCCCTTTACAAGAAGATGCATCTGTGTCGTCTGATTCTTGCTCATTTTATTATTTAGAACTCTTGATGGTCTTTACCAAGAATGCGTTCAAGAAAACCAAATAGCCCACCTTCAAGATAGTCTTGGGAGAAGCACCAGCAGAGACACTCATTGTGCCAAGATGTATTTTACCAACAAATCTGTACAAATTACATGAGGTTAAAAACAAACATAATGTAATATAATTAAAGTTTCTTTTGCTAAATTACAGCTTGAAGCAAACCTGCAAGAAATGTTTCCAATTAGCTTCTTTAGCAAACACAAAGCACAACCCAGAACATATTTTGCTTTCCATTCTGCCCGCTGGGTGGGCTGCCTAGTGGGTGTCTTACCTCCGGCACAAGTCGCAGAACATTCTGACCAAGGCTGATGATTCCATGTGAAACCAACTTCGTTGTCTCCACTGGCAGTCCGAGTGATAGGAACATTGAATTTATACCTAATCCCCAGATTCTGTTCCTGAAGCAGAACCTGCCATTGAAAACAACTGGTGAAGATAATTAAAATGCAATGAGCCTTCATTCAGGTATTTATTGCTTCTTTTGAAGAAGAAAAATGTCATCATGTGAGTCTTACAGAACATTTAAGATAACTTTTGGAACATATGCAATGATTTATTCCTTCCATTTTCATGGGTAGTTTGAAGCCATTTCTCCACTTTGCCTTGTTTGGCTATAAAAATATTATTCAAGCAGGCATTGAAAAGATCAAATAATCAAATGAAAATAGTACACGGCTTAAGCTTTACATGTTTTACGCTCTTGTTAGCTTTAATAACCTTAGCTTTCCCAACCATAAAACTAAGATAATAAAGCCTGCTCCTTCCTACTATACTAGTGGATTACAAAGAGTGGAAATGAAGAAACAAAAATACACTTACCATGACAATGAGATTTTCTGAGGTGGGCCCCAGAGCTTCCAGGGATTCTGGATCATCAGTTGGTCTCTTGTAGTGAAAAGCTGTCCCAGCAACATCAAACTTCCTGGGCCAGTCAATAGTCCAGGCACCATTAATGTAGTAATCATCCCCTTCAGACTTCAAAGCTGAAAAAAATCACATTCCAATGTCATGGATGAATAAATGCACCAGCGTATACAATAGAAGCAATTTCCATTTACAAATAAGACTGTAGACCATTTTCTTAAACGCAAATTTGATGCTAATTCAACATCAAGAAGATATAAAGTATCTGTAATGGTACTGATAAAGCTAAATAGATGGTTTGTCTGAGGGAATAAACACGTGAATCTAGCAAGACAATTATGATGAAAGGAATAATTGGGATTAAGAGTAACAGCGGGGTGGGCTGGAACAATAATTCAGTGTAGGGCATTTACCTAGCATGAAGCCTATTCCCAGCACCCCATAAGTTCCCCCTGAACACTGCCAGGAGTAACTCCTGAGTGCAGGGCCAGGAGTAAGCCCTGAGCATTGTGGGTGTGATTCAAAAAGTAAAAAAAAAGAAAAGAAAAGAATAGGAAGAGAGGGAGGGAGGGAGGGAGGGAAAGGAAAGAAGGAAGGAAGGAAGGAAGGAAGGAAGACAATTGAACTTTCTATTCAAATATTAATTAAAACAGCAATGAAATATGGGTAGAATCTATGGTCCTGACACACAGGCTGACAAGAGAACAATGGAATAAAGTTGAACTAAATGATCAAGAAACAAAACCAAGTCAGGACAAGAAGAGAAAATAAGAGAAGAAAAGAGTAAGACAAACAGCAGAAATTACTCAGAGTTCATATAGAAACATACAATAAGTTATTTTATATCAATAACCATTAAATGTTAATGGCATAAGCTCACCAATCAAAAGGCACAGAGCAGCCAGATGAATTAGTAAATAAAATCCAATCTTTGTGTTATTTACAGGAGACTCACTTGAACTTCAATGACAAACAGGCTCAATATAAAAGATTGGAAAACAATGACAGAGGCAAGTGATAGCAAAAATATTGATGAGACGATCATACTTAAATCACAAAAAATCCATTTCAAACTTTAAAAAAGATAGGATATAAGAGTCAGGGATGATGGACATTCTCCAATGACTAAGAATTCAATCTATCTATCTCTCTATATGTGTGTGTGTGTGTGTGTAAATATCTATCTCTATATATAGAATGAGAAAAGCAACTACTAACAGGCCTAAAGAGAGTCATCAATAGCAAAACAGTAAGTAGTAGAAGATTTTAACATCTTATTTTCACCACTGGGCAGGTCAACAAGACAAAAAGAATCTGCAATGAATTAAGCCTCAAATGAGGAACTGGAATAAGTGGACTTGGTGGTTAAAATGTTGGTCTTGCAAGCATGAGATGGTGAGTTTGATTCTTGCTGCTGCCACATGCACCAAGTATGTTTTTGGCAATTCTGCAATTCCTGGTGCCAAGGCAATTTCTGACAACACTGATTTCAGGTGTTCAAGCACCACAACTAAAGTGCCTGACCCTAGTAAGCAGGTGTACAAGCACTACCACGGCCAAGTATGTTGGCACCAAAATTGATGGACAACATTTGGCAGACACTACAACCAAAGGTACAAGCACCACATTCAAGTGTATATGACCCCCAGTCATCCTAACAAGGATTGTCAATAGAAGAAAGAAGGGAGAAAACAAACTGGGCTTAATGGATAATTACAGGAATCTGTGTAGCAGGTAAGACCTTGCATGCATCCAACCTGGGTTTGATTCATATGATTCATATGGTCTCCTGAGCCCTACTAGGAGTGATCCCTAAGCAAAGAGCCAGGAGTAAGCCCTAAGCACTTCTGGGTATGACTCTCCCCGCAAAACAAAGAAGCAAAAATTTAAGGGAGAAGGGATGATATTTGAAAGACTACAAGGAATCATACAGGTCTCACTAAGTGCCTCTGTAGAATCTAAATCTGTCTCAAGAGATCAATCATCAAATAAAAAGAACTTTCATTTCTTTGCATGTTGAAATGCTAGACTTGCTAGACTTGCTTCACACTGTGAACAATGAGAAAACTCATAAAATATATGAATCATATGTTCTGAGACATTGGCTAGGAGACATTCCTTCAGTCAAGGAAGGAAGGAAGTTGATTCATATCAACTCTCCAGATTTCTTCCTGGAAATAATTTGTCAGCGTAGAAGAGAGCTAAGCAGGACAAAGTGTTCTCACTAGAGTAGAAGTCAGGGATGAAAAAAAAAAAAGAAAAATTGGAAGGTTACGAGAGCTGGAATTTGTAGAACCAGGACTAGCAGAGAAGGAAGGGTTCTGTTGTTGAATAGTACTTTGTGTATTCATTGGACAAAACACCAGGTTATTGACAGGGTGAGGGAATCTACCTGTGAGTTAAAAGAAAACAATTTCCAGCATGAGAATTTAGTTTCAACTACATCCGACAGAGATTTAAGATGCACCATGCCATAAAAGGTGTTACTCAGGACTCATTGAAACAAAAAAATAACTCAAAAGCAAGCTTCTGAAAAATGGGGATTTAAAAAAAAAGATTGGAATGTTATTCTGTCATTTAAAAATAAACTGTCATTCGCCACAAAATAGAAATTAAAGTAATTTTGCTAAATTAAATAGATAAGGAAGTGAAAGAAAGTTTGCCAGATGGTTACATACAGATGTGGAATATAAAAACTAAAGCAAGTAAAGTGGCAGACAGTGATAACTCTTAGTTTTAGTGAAAATTATGGTGATTGGGATGTAGTGAGAGGACAAGGTAGAAGAGTCCTTATGGTGGGGCATGGCACTGGAATTCTGAAAGTGGGCCCAGTTATGTCCTACACACAGAGAGGTAGTAAGCTATTCCCTTGAATTTCTGCAGCATTGTGAAAGAAGAAAAATGAAAAATAGTATAAAGGATGGTAGGAGACAACGGAAGTAAATTGTGAGAATCTTAAACTAAACAGAATAGGGTAATATTATTTAAAATTGTGCTATAATAAACTACCAATGTAACATCTAAACTCTAACAACCACTAATTAAACAGAACAAAATAATCCCGAGTTTGATTCCTCCGCCCCTCTCGGAGAGCCCAGCAAGCTACCGAGAGTATTCGATATGCCAGACACAGTAACAACAAAGTCTCCAATGGAGACGTTACTGGGACCACTCGAACAAATCGATGATCAACGGGAGGGCCTTTACTTTACTTACTTAATATTAATATTAAGGTTGGTCCCATCAATGGCCAAGACGCAGAGACTATAAAACCCAGCTCCCGGAGAACAGCGCAGAGTCTCCTGCCCCCACGCCTGGCTGTCCTCACCGGCGCCCCTTGGAGGGGGGAGGGTTGAGTTTCTCTCCTCCCCCCACCCAGAGCAGAGCCTAGCAGCTGAGGACCTCTGGAGCCAGCCACGGCCATACTGGGACCACTCTCCACACGTTCAGACGGGCCTCAGGCATGAAAGAACTGGCAGAGGAACCCAGGCATGCGGGTCCAGGGGCTGAGGTCTCCAAGCCCACTCGGATTGGGACTAGGCCTTCTCCAACCAGACCCCCGTCTTCCAGTAGGTAGGCGTTACACCCAGCAGCTGCTGCCAGTGCCAGGTTGGTCCCATCAACGGCCAAGAAGCAGAGACTATAAAACCCAGCTCCCGGAGAACAGCGCAGAGTCTCCTGCCCCCACGCCTGGCTGTCCTCACTGGGGCCCCTTGGAGGGGGAAGGGTTGAGTTTCTCCCCCCCCCCCCCCCACAACCCCCGAGCAGAGTCCCAGCAGCTGAGGACCTCCAGAGCCAGCCACAGCCATGCTGGAACCACTCTCCACATGTCCGGAAGGGCCTCATGCATGAAAGGACTGGCAAAGGAACCCAGGCATGTGGGTCCTGGGACTGAGGTCTCCAAGCCTACTCGGATTGGGACTGAGCCTTCTCCAACCAGACCCCCCTTCTTCCAGTAGGTTGGCATCACACCCAGCAGCTGCTGCCAGTGCCAGGTTGGTCCCATCAACGGCCAAGAAGCAGAGACTATAAAACCCAGCTCCCGAAAGCACGCAGCCACATTCATGGCCACACTACATCTTATTAACTTATTTTTCCTTTGGAGAACCTGGCAGGCTACCAAAAGTATCCTGCCCGCACGACAGAGTCTGGCAAACTTTCCGTGTCATACTCAATATGCCAAATACCAGTAACAATGATGGGTCTCATTCTCCTAATCCTGAAAGAGCACTGAAATGGCTCTTTTAAAATCTCAGGGCTAGGAAGAAGGAGATGTTACTGGTGCCTGCTCGAGGAAATCGACGAACAACAGGATGATCGTGATCGTGATTACTTAATAACTGAGGAACAATAACTATACTGTAAAATACTTCATTACTCTAAGACAAAGCATACACAAAATAAACAGGACATAGCACAGATAGAAAAGGAGCAGAGTAGAAGCAAATCCAGTGGCATTCCTACAAAACAAAATACAAATATCCAGACAAAGCATTGGCCAGTATGGTCCCCAACCTTTATTGTCAATGAATATTTATTGGACACAGTCCTCTTTTTCAATGATGTGTCATTTATATCTGCTTTCACATTGACAGAAGTGAATTGCTGTGACACAGACTACATTTCTGGTATTTACTAAGTGTGTGTCCCTCAATAGGAAAGTTCTGTCAAACCCTTTCCACCTGACTCTGTAGATTTTGGTTTAAAAAAAACACAAAGATTGTTAGTCATAGTAAGAAATCAAGATTCAGATGACAGAATTATATAAGAAACATATTTTAATTGATCTTAGTTTTTGTTTGGTTTTGTTTTGTTTTTAGTTTTTTGCATTGGGGGCCACAGCCAGTGGTTTTTCTCAGTGGTGCATGGGGAAACATGAAGTACCAGGGATTTAACCTAAGGCTCCCTCTCCCATGCAAAGCATGGACTCCAGCCCTTTGATCTACCTCCTTAGCCCCTATCAATAAAGCATTTTAAATTCAGAGATAAATACCTGTAAAAAAATGAATAAGTTAAAAACATCTTAGCACATATGACTAATCAGAAGAAATCTGGATGAGTAGACTATCAAACAAAACAGACTTTAAAAATTTGTTTTGTATCACACCTAGAGTATTGG